CATAGCGATGTAAATGCTCTAGTTTATAGGCTTATAAGAGCATTGCGTTGTAAAATCTCTAGTTTGTAGGCTTATAAGAGTATAGCGATGTAAAAGCTCTAGTTTATGGGCTTATAAGAGCATAGCGATGTAAAAGCTCTAGTTTATAGGCTTATAAGAGTATAGCGATGTAAAAGCTCCAGTTTATAGGCTTATAAGAGTATGATCGATGTAAAAGCTCTAGTTTATAGGCTTATAAGAGCATAGAGATGTAAAAGCTCTAGTTTATAGGCTTATAAGAGCATAGCGATGTAAAAGCTCTAGTTTATAGGCTTATAAGAGTATAGCGATGTAAAAGCACTAGTTTATAGGCTTATAAGAGCATAGCGATGTAAAAGCTCTAGTTTATAGGCTTATAAGAGTATAGCGATGCAAAATCTCTAGTTTATAGGCTTATAAGAGTATAGCGATGTACAAGCTCTAGTTTATAGGCTTATAAGTGCATAGCGATGTAAAAGCTCTAGTTTATAGACTTATATGAGTATAGCGATGTAAAAGCTCTAGTTTATAGGCTTATAAGAGCATAGCGATGTAAAAGCTCTAGTTTATAGGCTTATAAGAGTATAGTGATGTAAAAGCTCTAGTTTATAGGCTTATAAGAGCATAGCGATGTAAAAGCTCTAGTTTATAGGCTTAAATGAGCATAGCGATGTAAAATCTCTAGTTTATAGGCTTATAAGAGTATAGCGATGTAAAAGCTCTAGTTTATAGGCTTATAAGAGCATAGCGATGTAAAAGCTCTAGTTTATAGGCTTATAAGAGTATAGCGATGTAAAAGCTCCAGTTTATAGGCTTATAAGAGTATAGCGATGCAAAATCTCTAGTTTATAGGCTTATAAGAGTATAGCGATGTACAAGCTCTAGTTTATAGGCTTATAAGAGTATAGCGATGCAAAAGCTCTAGTTTATAGGCTTATAAGAGTATAGCGATGTAAAAGCTCTAGTTTATAGGCTTATAAGAGCATAGCGATGCAAAATCTTTAGTTTATAGGCTTATAAGAGCATAGCGATGTAAAAGCTCTAGTTTATAGGCTTATAAGAGTATAGTGATGTAACAGCTCTAGTTTATAGGCTTATAAGAGTATAGCGATGTAAAATCTTTAGTTTATAGGCTTATAAGAGTATAGTGATGTAAAAGCTCTTGTTTATAGGCTTATAAGAGCATAGCGATGTAAATGCTCTAGTTTATAGGCTTATAAGAGTATAGTGATGTAAAAGCTCTAGTTTATAGGCTTATAAGAGTATAGCGATGTAAAATCTCTAGTTTATAGGCTTATAAGAGCATAGCGATGTAAAAGCTCTAGTTTATAGGCTTATAAGAG